CCCAATTTTCATCATTTTGGGCCAAAATTTGCCATAATCCATCAACTGTAAACGTCACCAATTTACCCAAAACCCACCCTGTGTCCCACTGCCCCAATTTTCATCATTTTGGGCCAAAATTTGCCACAATCCATCAACTCTTAACGTCTCCAATTTACCCAAACCCGACCCTGAGTCCCACTGCCCCAATTTTCATCATTTTGGGCCAAAATTTGCCACAATCCATCAACTCCTAATGTCACCAATGTAGCCAAACCCCACCCTGAGTCCCACTGCTCCAATTTTCATCACTTCAGGTTGAAATCTGCCATAATCCATCGACAACTTAAACCCCAATTCCATCCCAAAACCTCAGCCTGAGCTCCACTGCCCCAATTTTGGGCTGAAATCAATCAGAATCTGCCAAGTGATGCCTCCATTCCTTTCCTAGGTGGTCGTGGCCGTGGCCGTGGGTTCCGGGGTCGGGGTCGGGGCTGCATGAGGGGAGGCCGAGGAATGGGACGGGGAAACCGTGGTCGGGGCCGAGGGGATCACATGGAGGATGAGGAGGAGATGTACGAAGAGGAGATGGAGGTGAGTGGTGGGGATGGGAATCTGAGAGGCTGGGATGGTTGGGAGTTAAGGGAATGGGAGTGAAAAGGGTTGGGATGGAGCGAAAATGGATGGGAATGGGATGAAAAGAGATGGGAGGGTGGTGAAAAGGGGTGGGATGGGGATGAAAAGGGGTGGGATGGGGATGAAGAAGGATGGAATAGAGCAAAAAGTGCTGGGAATGGGCATAACAGGAATGGGAGGGGCTGGAAATGGACAGGTCTGGAGGAAAAAGGACTGGGAATGGGGGAGAAAGCAATGGGATGGGGACAAAAGGGGTGGTAATGAGACAAAAAAAGAGATGGAATAGGACAAAAATGACTGGAATGGGAATAAAAGGGATGGAATGGGGTGAAAAGGGATAGAATAGGGCAGAAAGGGCTGGGAATGGAGATTAAAGGGATGAGATGGGGTAAAAAGGGAAGGGAATGGCAGAAAAAGAATGGGAATGGGGCTGAAAGGGATGGGATGGGGATGAAAGTGCTGGGAATGGTGCAAAAAGGGATGGGAATGGGGATAGAAGCTCTGGGATTAGAGCTGAAAGCTCTGGGATGAGGCTGACACTTGTGGGATTGGGGCTAAGAGCTCTGAGATTGGGGATAGAAGCTCAAGAACGGGGATAAGAGCTCTGGGATTGGGGATAGAAGGTCAAGAATGAGGACGAAGGCTTTAGTATTGGGATTAAAGCTCTGAGATTGGGGATGGAAGCTCAAAAATGGGGATAAGAGCTCTGGGACTGGGGATAGAAGCTCAAGAATTGGGATAAGAGCTCTGGGATTAGGGATAGAAGCTCAAGAATGAGGATAAGAGCTCTGGGATTGGGGATAGAAGCTCAAGAACGGGGATAAGAGCTCTGGGATTGGGGATGGAAGCTCAGGAATGGGGAGGAAGGCTTTAGTATCGGGATTAAAGCTGTGGGATTGGGGATGGAAGCTCAAAAATGGGGATAATAGCTCTGGGATTGGGGGTAGAAGCTCAAGAATGGGGATAAGAGCTCTTTGATTGGGGATAGAAGGTCAAGAATGGGGATAAGAACTCTGGGATTGGGGGTAGAAGCTCAAGAATGAGGATAAGAGCTCTGGGATTGGGGATAGAAGGTCAAGAATGGGGATAGAAGCTCAAAAATGGGGATAAGAGCTCTGGGATTGGGGATAGAAGCTCAGGAATGGGTACGAAGGTGTTAGTATCGGGATTAAAGCTGTGGGATTGGGGATAGAAGGTCAAGAATGGGGATAGAAGCTCAAAAATGGGGATAGAAGCTCAAGAATGAGGATAAGAGCTCAAGATTGGGGATAGAAGCTCAGGACTGGGGATAGAAGCTCAAAAATGGGGATGAGAGCTCTGAGATTGGGATTAAATCTGTGGGATCTCTGCACCCTGCAGTACGGTGACCCCGAGGATCCCGGTGGCCCCGATGATGACTACGAGGACTACAGCAGCAAGGAGCCTGGCCAGTACCGCCGCAACAAGGACGGGCGCGGGCGCGGTGAGCCCCCACCCACCCCTTAACCCCCCTCCCCAGCACCACTGTGGCACTGATGGCCCTTTTTCCCCCTTTTTTAGGCTTAAATCGGGGTCGTGGCCGGGGTCCCAGGGGCAGAGGGAACAAAGGGATGGGCCGAGGCCGTGGCCGTGGCAGGATGGCCAAGGGCAGCGCCATGAACGACGACGACGATTACTACGATGAGGACATGGTGAGAAATTCATGCCTTTTTCATCACTGCCACGTTTCTTTGTGCTGTGTCCATCCTGCTGCCATCCAGGAGTCAGGAGGGGGGGCCCACGTGTCCCCAAAATGGTCCCGTGGGGTCCAAGGGTGCAGGAGGAGTGATGGTTCCTCTCTGCACTGCCCACAATTTGTTCTTCCTGTGCTGTGTTTCATCTTTCACCTTCCGTATTTCTCACATTTTGCGTTCCTGTTTCTCCCATGTTCCATATTTCCCATATTTCCAACTTGCTATGGTCAGTGTTTCCCACATTTCCTATATTTCATGTTCCTTATTTCCCATATGTTTCACATTCCTCATATTATGTTCCATATTTCTCGTATTTTCCCACATTTCTCATATTTCATGTTCCATATTTCCCATATTTCCAACTTCCTATGGTCAGTATTTCCCACATTTCCCATGTTTTATGCTTCATATTTCCCATATATTTCACATTCCTCATATTATGATCCATATTTCTCATATTTTCCCACATTTCTCATATTTCATGTTCCATATTTCCCATATTTCCAACATGCTATAGTCAGTATTTCCCACATTTCCTATATTTCATGTTTCATATTTCCCATATATTTCACATTCCTCTTATTATGTTCCATATTTCTCATATTTTCCCACATTTCCCATATTTTGTGTTCCATATTTCCCATATTTCCAACATGCTATGGTCAGTATTTCCCACATTTCCTATATTTCATGTTCCTTATATTCCATATATTTCACATTCCTCATATTATGTTCCATATTTCTCATATTTTCCCACACTTCCCATATTTTATGTTCCATATTTCCCACATATCACGGTCCACATCCCCCACATTCCCCACCTCCCACCTCCCATGCTCCACATCCCCCACATTTCCCCCTATTTCCCACTCTCCACTGCCCCAGAGTTGCCTTCCTGCCCCATTTTTGTACCTTTTGCCCTTTGATGCACAGTGCTCCCACTTCTCCCCTCCTTTCCTGACCCCCCCAGGATGGTGGAGGTGGCAATTACCGCCGCGGGGACCACGACAAAACCCACCCTCCTGCAGACAAGAAGGGCAAAGTCATCTGCAAATACTTCGTGGAGGGCCGCTGCACCTGGGTGAGCTCCAACCCCACAGCACTCCCACTTCTGCCTCCCAAATCCACCTCTACAGCACCTCATTTCCCCCAAACCCACCTCTATAGCACCCAATTTCCCCCAAACCCACCTCTGTAGCACCCAATTTCCCCCAAACCCACCTCTATAGCACCCAATTTCCCCAAAACCACCTCTGTAGCACCCAGTTTCCCCCAAATCCACTTCTACAGCATCCAGTTTTCCCCAAACCCACCTCTACAGCACCCAGTTTCCCCCAAAACCACCTCTGTAGCACTTGATTTCCCCCAAATCCACCTCCATAGCACCCAATTTTCCCCTAAATCCACTTCTACAGCACCCAATTTCCCCCAAACCCACCTCTATAGCACCCAATTTTCCCCAAACCACCTCTGTAGCACTTCATTTCCCCCAAACCCACCTCTATAGCACCCAATTTCCCCCAAACCCACCTCTGTAGCACCCAATTTCCCCCAAATCCACTTCTACAGCACCCAATTTTCCCCAAATCCACTTCTACAGCACCCAATTTTCCCCTAAATCCACTTCTACAGCACCCAATTTCCCCCAAACCCACCT